CCCCCCCCCCCCAGGGAAGAGTGTGAAAGCAGGTCCCTACTACCACAAATTATGCCGTCAAGTTTCCTACATTTGGGAGCATCACAGGGGTCAGCACATCTGGAATGCAATGGATAAGCCTCACCCTGGGAAAAACACCTTCGTGGTCAGGGTATCTCCCCTGCCAGGTAAGTATTGTTTAGTCATTTCGATTTTATTATTTATATATTTATTTTATTACATGGGTTACAATCCAACACTATCATCATTATTATTATTTTGTTATTATTATTTTTGAGACAGAGTCTCAAGCTGTTGCCCTGGGTAGAGTGCTGTGGAATCATAGCTCACAGCAACCTCCAACTCTTGGGCTTAGGCGATCTTCTTGCCTCAGCTTTCTTATATTTAGTACAGATGGGGTCTTGCCTTTGCTTAGGCTGATCTCTAACTGGTGAGCTGAAGCAATCCACCCACCTGGGCCTCCCAGAATGCTTAGGATTACAGGCATGTGCCACCAAGCCTGGCCTATCATTATTTATTTTAGTGCTCAAATTATTCTAACTTTTGGCCATTAGGAGCTATTTCGGGTTGATGCCTATATCTTTTTGATAAGTTAGCATCCTTTTGTGAATACAGTCAGCCCGCCATATTTGTGAGTTTTACATCCATGGATTCAACCAACTGCAGATCACAAATATTTAGGGGAAAAAATTCACAAAGTTCTGAAAATCAAAACTTGAATTTTTCTGAGGACTATTCTGAAGCCACACAAATGAAATGATGTATAGGCATTGTATTAGGTATTATAAGTAATCTAGAGATGATTTTAAGTATACAGGAGAATATACATATATTTATGCAAATAGTATAAGGGACGTTGGTATCTACAAAACCAGTGGACAACTGTGCTTCTTTACTTTCTGGCACAAAATATTCTGGACTTATTTATATTTTCCTTGCCCCAGGTCTTTTTTTTTTTTTTAATTGAATGGTAACTATGTACATTAATGCACTTCTGGGGTACAGTGTGGGGTTTTCACACACAATCCGAAACACTTC